TCAGAATCCTTCTGATGCCCCAAACTTGGGTACCTAGCATCTGCTATTCACTTGGGGTCCCAGTGCCCACAAGGGACCATCAGTGTCAGCCTTGGAGACAAGGAGTATTGCCCAGGACACTCACTACCCTGAGAGGGAAGGACTGCTTCTCTGAGACTCATCTTGTGGGAAGGCCACTGGTATTGTTTATCCCAAACCTGACTCACCATTTTCTCCCTTAGCTGATGTCTGTGTCCCTTCCCCAAACCAGGTAGACTTTAGAGGAACAAGATGGCCCCTGATGGGCAGTGACTGTGAGTGATACGGTGGCCACACACACACCTGTCCCGCTTATTATGTGGACACAAAAATAACCATTTCCCTCCTCCAGCATCCTAGGCATCTTTTGTAAAAGCTGCTCAGACATAAATGAGCTGAAATTATTTTCCTAGATACGTATCCAATGCCAGCCTTGGTGTCCTGTGAGTAAACTGGGAAAATGATGGTCCTGCCTTGCTGGGTTATGAGATATTGACAATCAAATTTGTATAACACTATGATCACTGTGTCCAGAGATCAGTGTGTGTTCACGGCTCTTGGTGGCTGCTCAAGGTTGTCACTGCCCTTGTTATTTCAGGACATGAGAAATTTTAAAGCAGCAGTCAGATCTAAGACTCTACGGATGTCACCCAAATCATGGATAGAAGCATTTTCAGTACAGGGAAAGTGACAGGGGCTGCAGAAAGTCAGGCTGTCCCTCACAAGAGCACCCAGCCCTGTTCAGTGCCCTCATTAATCCCTTCCGATCCTGGGTGATCACTCCGCTTTCCCTCCAGAGGACACCACAAGAAATTGTTCCAAGAAGCAGTGTGTCCACCCAGAAATACTGTGTCTGCAGAAGGCCTTGGTTCCACAACTCCAATTTCTCTGCCAAAACAAGGAAATGAAACTAAGCTCACATGATGGGCCCTCACTGAACTCTTGCTGCCTGCAATGATCACCTTCTCTCACAGGGGGTTTATAAACCATCAACTTGAATGTCATTTCTAGCCCTGCTGTTAGCTCTGAGGCTGGGGACTTGCTGGCTTCCTCTTTTTATAGAAAGCATTATGTCAGAATTCTCCCGCAAACCACAAGCTTTCCAGAAATAGCTACCATTGGAGGTGAACTCGTCTAAAGTGGGGCCAGCCTACCCAGCAGTGGCCTCCATCCTAATTATCTGAACAGTTTTCCAGTTGTTCAAAATAGCATGCTGTCTCCACCTACACGTCCGAGCTGAAGGAAAGTGAGTTTCTCATAATACTGATTGAAAATAGTCTTGTATTTGGTTTTGGGAGTTGGTTTTTTTTTTTTAACTTAATTACCCCTGGTTCCCTGAGAAGGTAGATTTGGACCTGGAGAAGCCAAGGATCCTGTCAAGTTCTTAGCTTCGTCATTCTCATGGCTGTTCTGGCTGCCACCAAATTCAATCCAGAATACACAGAGCTGGGTCCCGAAGGAGAAGAAGATGTAGTAGCAATGGCTAGTGTGGACCATGTGGTCATGTGAGCTTCCAACCCTGGGGAAATAGAATAAAGCCATCTACGGAAAACAGCTGATGTATCATCTGTTCTGCACCCATCTCTTCTTCACACAGGAGCACATTGGTTTCTCCTAGGAAATACCATGTCTCTGCTCACAGGCAAGCTAGGTCATGTGAGGTTGGCCCTACTTTGCGGGGGGGAGGGCTGCACTAGGACAGGCAGTGAGAAGTCACAACTCTGATCAATTAACCACCATGATGGACTAAGATGTGAGGCAATGATGTGCCCCAGGCAGCCACCCTTCTGTAGTACACATTGGGACTGCTGGAAAAGACCCGGGATCTCTCATCTTGGGGAGACTGAGAACAAAGCCCAAGCGAAAACAAGGACTAGAGTTGAGCATCTTACCACTGTCTGACTAGCTGCAGCCAGTCTCTTCAAACACCGGCTTTGGTCCTCACTGGAACTTCCAGTCAGTTGGTTTAAATGTCAGTAACCTTTCTTTCAGTCGAATGGGAAGACTGTCACCTGTCACCAGGTTATCCACGAAGTGTAGAGCACAAGAGCCAGAGTCAAGGGTCTTGTGGTGGTCGCCGGTGAAAGTCACTATGTAGCTCCATTCCTTGTCAGGCACCTTGGAGTCCTAATGAGGAAGTCAGATGTTGCCTTGCCACGTGCCATGACAAATGAGATAGAGTCAGAAGATGCACATGTCACTTCCAGAGAGAAACCTGTAGTAAGATTTTTTTCTTTTTTGGGGGGGCCCACCTCTCAGCTCCCAAATGAATCACACACAGAAGCTTATTCTTACTTACGAATGTCCAGTCTTAGATTGGCTTGTTTCTTGCCAGCTTTACTTAACTTTAATTATCCTGTCTACCTTTTGCCTCTGGGCTTTTCCGGTTCTCTTACTTTTGTAAATCTTACTGAAACCTAAGAACCGATGAACTCCTCAGGCAAGTGTTTCTGCTGTCTTACCTACCGTGGAAATATGGAGACAGAGCCTCCCTCCACCTGGACCCAAGAAAGAGGCATGACTTCGTACTCCAGCCGGGCAGCTGTGGATGCTCGCCATGAGCAAAAATCAAGTGTTTGGACTCACTGATGTGACATGTTGGGTTTGTTTGTTGCTACACCATAGTTTACTGGATCTGGTCAATACAAACATTCATCAAGGACATCAATAACAACGTAGGTAGATATCAGGCAAGGTGATATTCTTCCATGTTGTCTCTGGATAAGCTTTTTCTGTAACCTCCATGTGAGGGAGAAATGGTTAGCAGGGTCTTGATGGATGGAATCCCAAAGGCTATGAGGTCAGGGATGTGAATATAACGCTAAAACACAGACAAAGGGAAGCATACAAGTGGGGAATTTTATCCGTTTATATCCAGAACTTACAGGGAAGTATGTAAGCACAACCCCAGCTAAAGAAGACAAGAGAAATGGAAATTGAAAAAATACAAGAATGATCATAGTTAAAAGACAGAAATGAATGGACTGATGTAAACTATTCTTGGCATGCAGCAATCTAGATGTGTTCATGAGTCAGAGTCCCAGCTCTCTCGAGACCATGTGCTGTGCTGGAGACCCATGGTTACTTGGGAGAATGTGTGAAGAATAATCTCAAGGGTGTGGTCACTGGGACCAGATGCTATTAGGCTTGTCCAATAGGGTGGTGTGAAGTCCTGGCTGGACATGAGTATTCCTGTGACTATCAGTGTGCACAATAATGTGTTCTTTTGCTTGTGGATTTGGAAATTGCTTGCCATTGTAATTGGTTGCTACATAACCTATCTATCACATTATCATTTCTGTAGGACAGGAATTCAGACGCAGTTAATCTGGACACTGTGGCTCCAGTTCTTTCCAGAAGTCACAGGGAAGGTGTGACTGGGGTGGGTTACAGTCATCTATATAAAAGCTTCATTGAGGCTAAGGATCCATTGTCAGGACAGCTCAGTTGCATGACTGTTAGGGGGAAAAAACTCTATTCATCATCATATGACCTTACCATAGAGCTGTTTGAGCAACCTGGCAACATGGCAGATGGCTGGATCCTTGAAGAGCCAGTGATTCTGAACAGACCCCAATGGAGGTTGTATAATGTCTTTTAGTTGTAGGATCTAATCCCACATTTTAGACCTTGTCTCTAAGAAGTCACAAGCCATCATTTCTGGTGCCATCTCTTGTTAGGACATGGCAGCAAGAAGGGAAACTAGGGGTGAGCAATGGGCAAAAGCATGTGCAAAGTAGACCAGCGACAGACGATTTTGTTACAGGCAATGACATCAGCAGACCTGCAGATGCTGGTGAGGGGTCCCCAAAGAAGAGATGGTGAGTCTCAAACTCCAGAGGCAAAAAGAATTTTGGCATATTCTAATGAACAAGAGAGAGTGATGGACAGGGCTGGGGTAGATGCAAGAGACAGCAATGTCTGCCTGGGGTCAATGTGATGAGTCTCTAGAGACAGATCCTTCTGGCTACTATGTGGATAATGACCAAGTGGTCTAAGTGGACACTAGGAGGGGATTCAGGAAACTTCTAAAGAGCTCCGGTGAAAATGGAGACATGGAATGAGGTAGGAGCCACGGAAAGAGTGGGCTACATCCAGGAAAAAGAGAAATTCTATGATAGGCTCTCAGCAGTTCCCACCCATTGTTTGTTTCCCCAGAGAAAATCTGATGGTTGTTTCTGCCAAGCAGTCACAACTGTTTGGATAGTTCACTTTATTACATGTTTCTGTAAACAATGACAGTGACAAAGGAAGCCCTCCATTCTCTGTGCATGGGGCATTGCAAAAGTTTAGGACATAAGTGTCCAGTGAGGTTTAGGTGGACGTTGCATGGAGATAGGTCCCACTGTCTGGGCCTCTTGGGTGAACCATGGTTCTGATGTGAGCCTCAGAATAATAAGGCCAAGGGATTTGTCACCAATACCTGCGGCCAAACATCCACAGATGCAGACGGTGTGGCTGGTGGTGTGGTTCACAGAAACTTCCCAATACTTTTTAAATTACATCATTTCAAAACAGTCACAGAGGGCACATGCACTGATTTTTGAAGCTTTTAAATATTTCTGCTCTGTCTGGCAACAGTTTTAACTCCTGAGCAGGGGCTTTAGAGAAATTCTGAATTCATTCTGTCTAAACCAAGACATAGTAGGACCCAGAATCTTAAAGCCACATGGATTCTGAGAAACAATTTCTTTGGAGCCCCCCAAAAACAATGAAATAAGTAACACAGCAGACGTCTGAAATCAGAGAAACGTAGATGTCCCATAAACAGCTCCTTCCACTGAGCATTCTTGCACCAGCCGGTGTAGTTCGTGTTTGCTTTAACACAAAAACTAATAAAACTTCATTCCTCCATGAACTCCAGGATGACTCAGCTTTCTTACAGTTCCTTGTATGACAGGAATAAACTGGTCAGATGGGGAAAGCAGATGTGGGGAAAGCCACGCCATCTCTTCCTCAGAAAGCAGCTTGGTCAGTAGCTCCCAACCTCCTCTCAGCCTGAAAGGACAGCAGGGTCTCTCATCCCACGGGAAGCAGCTCCTGGGTGTGTCCGTTCAAAGAGCATCAGCTCAGAGGATGCCTGTGGACAGTACCTAGGCTCACCAGATGCCAGGGGATCGCTGTCTGGCTAATTGAATTGGCTGGTTAGTTTGGAACTTGCTCTCTGGCCTCCTCCAAGCCACCCACCATCTCCTCCTCATCTAGGAACTGACCCCAGCTCAGCTGTAGTCATCTCAACCGTGGGCCCACAGCCTTTATGTTTTGTGTTCTCGTTTGGTTTTGCACATTAGTCACAGAGCATCCTGGACTCTCAGGAAGGAAAGCAAACTGAGCAGGGCTACATGATGGGGGTGGAACTCACCTGAGAGACCGGGATATTTTCATCTTGATTAAGGCTTTTTTCTTTTACACAGAATCTCAGGTCATCTCAACCCACTCTTCTGCCCTGTGCAGTATTGGGGAAGGGAGTTACCCATCTGATTTTTAGGTAAGAGGACACTGTTACTCAAGATGAGGGTTTTGGATTTTCCTGGGAAATGGTGGATCGAACCCCTGGAACTTGGAGTTGGTCAATGGTAGAGTTCCAGCTGCTTGCCACCACCTCAGAGGAGATGAAGCTAGAGGATGGAGGTGGTGAGAGAAGCTGGGCACAAGGGTGAGTAGACCATGCTAAGGGAAGATGTGTTGGCAGCCATGAGTTGGGTTAAGGGAACAAGAATGGCGACAAGAGGGGAATCGGGAATCAAATGCAAGGGATTTTCTAGAATTGGTATGACTTCAGGAAGGGATGGGGGACTCTGGGAAGCAGTCAAATGTTAGTGAGAAGGAGGGGAAAGGAAGGGAGAAGAGGCAAAGGGTGGGGGAAGAGTACCTTTACTGGCTGAGTCAACTCACTACCCCACAGAAACTGGTTTTTCATTAGCATAATATACACATTCTAAATGATAAAGCCAACATCAAATGTCCACATAATGTTCAGGAGCCAAGTATTAGGAGATGCTCTACACTACAGTATGTGGGAGCATGCTGTGTGCACACAGATGCTTGAAAATGATGCACAGCCAGTGAGGCAGGGTCACAGGCATCTGTTGAAATGAGGAGCATTTGCCCATTTAGGTTTCCAAAGCTGGGCTCCAGGGACTTGTGGTAAAGGAACCCCAATGGACCCTGAGGTCAGGAAAAGAGTTTCAGCAGAAGGTTGTGCACACCTCAGAGGGCAGGGAAGATGAACAGTCTCGGCAGGGAGCAGATGTGACAGACATGGTGCGAGCTTCCAGTTGTGGCAGCAGCCTACTGAAGCCACAGGGAACTCATCATGAAGCCCTTTTTCACTCCTGTCTGGTCCTTTGATATTCACCATAGGTGCCTACCAATGATGTGTGAAGAGTAACAAGAGAGAAAAATGAAGAAATGTCCTGTATCAAGATCAAGAGTTCTTTGTCACCAGTCACAATGAACACAGTGAAAAGACCAGGGGAAGCAGAGGGGCAAGAATCACATGTTCACATCTGATGAGGGTTTAATATCCAGTCTGTAATTAAACAACATTAAAGATACCACTTCCCTTGGTTAAGTGGACAAAGAGCTTGTATAGACGTTTCTCTAGAGAGCTATAGTTGGTCAATAAATTGATCAGGAAGGAATGCTCGCCAATAATTCTTAGGGGATGACACGTCCAAAGCACAGGGAGACGTCACCTCACAGCCATGTGAATGGTTACTATATGAAACTGGAGACTAATGAGTGTGGGTGGGGTTGTAGGGATATAGCTGCTGTGGGAGCAGAGTCGCCAGGTATTTATAAGAACTAACGTTGACCAGATGACCAATATAGCAGTGACAGCAAGGTCATAGCACCTGTCAATCATTTATCTAGGACTCTTGATAGACTGTGTGGAATAACTGTTACTGCTCATGGCTACCCTCTAATGACTTTAATGTTGGGAGGAAACCTTGAGACCACTGATGACCAGGAATACATCTGAGGAGCTTCACCCAAGGGTGTTCCAGAGGTTGAGTCCCTCAGTTTAACCCCCCCGCCTCTACCCCCACCCCCTGCTTGATGTTTTCACCCTCAGATGCAGAAAGCAGTGTGTGGCTTTTCAGTGACATCCAAATATGTCTCTAAAAGGATAATAGATGGCAAATTTCTGCAAATTTGACAAGGTGTCACCTACTGCTGGGAGCAGAGACCTTTCTAGAACACCCCCACCTAAAGGGTTCCACGCTAAGGAGAAGCAAAAGTCTACCTTTGCATTTTCATCTCCATTTGTCTGACGTGGTTAAAGCAAGCATGCATTGCTTCAGAAACCAGGGAGAAAGGAGCACACACTCTGAATGTGACAACAGCGAGAGCTGGCTGCAGACACTGGGTGTGAACATTCCTGGGGCACATTTATTATAGTATCTATTGGAGAACATGGCTGGGGTGAATTTGAATATCAGATTTCATGTGAACAGATGTTAAAACTAACGAAATAATATTTGTCCTGGCAACTTCCCCAAGGATAAACATGATTACTGATTAAAAAGACAGAGTGTCAGACTGTAAGTGTTGGGTCTGCTGGAGCAGGATACCTGATTGGAAGCCCTGGCTTCTCCCAGATTCCCCTTGCAGGAGTCCATAGAGAAATGCATATAACTCAGAGTTAAGGGTGGTTCTCAGAAAGAAACCCAAAGCAGGATAACTTCCAAGGGTTGTAGGTGAAGACTGACAAGATGAAAACACCTCTAGTTATTATGGTTTCAATGACCCCACCCAACCTAGGTTGAAACCTAATCCCTACTGTGAGAGATTAAGAAATAGGACTCAGTGGCAGATTTCAGAGTTGACTATGCCATGGTGGCTATGGCAATGGTTGATAGTCATCTTGACAACATCTGAAATCACCTAGGAGGCAAGCCTCTAAGCACATCAGTGGGGGATTATTTAGACTCTGGGCATGCTTAACAGTGGGGCACCATTCCCTAGGCTTGGGTCCTAGAATGAATGGAAGGAGAAAGGTGGCTGAGTATCAGCATTCATTGCTTTTTCCTGACGGGATACAGTGTCACCAGATGTTCAAAACTCCCTCTTAATTTCTCCAGGGTGAAGAACTGTATCTCAAACTATGAACCAATATAAATCCATCCTTAAATTGCCTTAGTCAGGGCATCTTAGCACAGCAAGTAAGACAGCCAAGGTTAGATAAGCCATTTACTGACTGGCTTCTCTATTGCCCCCACCCCTGTCTGTTTGTCTGTCAGTCTCTCTATCTCTCTGTCTCTCATTACAAAAGCTATTTTGGCTATGTCTCACAACATGACTTGACCCACAACGGAGGCCTCAGCAGATGACAGCACCACGCTCATGAACTTCCGGTCTCCAGAACTAACTCTGAGCCAACTAACTCATTCTTTATACCTGATCTTCAAAAATAAAGAAAGGAATGTACAACAGGCGTAGGACAACTGTTCTGTCCTAGGTGAATGCTGGGTGACTGACCTTAGCCTGACTGCTCACCTGGATCTCACTGGGATTTCTCAGTGCTTGAGACTACAGGGCCCTGCCCCAGCAGATGTCTGTAAGTGTGTAGAGGGGGAACTTGGGAGAGTGTCCAAGAAGGACTTGAGAGCAGCATCATTCTTAGAAAGTTAACATACATTCCACCAAATGTCTGGAAAGGGAGCCTGGGAGACAGCTCAGTTTTGCTGCAGAAGCAGGAGAATCTGAGTTTAATGCCCAGACCTCATGTAAAAATAAATAAATAGATAAATAAATAAATAAACAAACAACTCAGCAATGGTGATACGTTCCTTTTATCCCAGGGATGGGGAGGCAGAAATGAGGATTCTTGGAGTTCACCAGCCAATGAGCCCCAGGCCAGTGAAAGACCCAACAAACAAATGGGTGACATCTGAAGAGAATGCCACCTGAGACTGACCTCTGGCTTCTGCAGACAGCACATACTCATAGAGATCTGCACATATGCACCACACATGTACACACACACACACACACACACACACACACACACACACACAAACACACAAAGAGTCCCTGGCTGTAACACTGAAAACAGGTTATAAGAGGATGCTAAAATGTTTGCAATCTTTCCTTAATATGTCAGAATTCCTCCACTCCACAGCTTCTTCTCTGTGACTATTTTCTCCATCGCTGGGAATAGACATGAAATGCATCCTTTGTCTAAAAATCTCTAACTTAGAATTATAATGGTTTTGTTTGTTTGGTTGGTTAGAGGACTTTTTTTCTTGAGGTGCCAACATAACTGTCTCTATAATTGCTGTCAAGAGCTCATTGAATTCCAGGAACCCTCTGAACTTCTAACAGAAAAAAGAAATCTTTGCCTGAGAACATATAAGTTGCTACAGCTGTTCTCTCTAAAAATGCCTGTGACTTGTTTTTCCAGGAGAGGAAAGTGCAATATATTTTTTAAAAGCCTGGAACTCTCATAAAAATAGCTACTTTGTCAACATGGTTTTATTGGGCTATGAGACAAACAAAAAAGCCATTATTTCCATGTCTTAAGTGTTTGAATAATTTACATCCTTCGAAGTAGTTCCCATTAAGACACAGGTATGAAGCACTGTGTTTCCAGAGACTTGATCACACTGAGAAAATGATGGCCATGTGATGCTGACTGAAGACAGGCAGAAGAAAAGGTTGCCCAGGTAGTGTCCTTGGGATCCTTGCATCGTTTTAAATGCTGATACAACTTACCAAACCTGTGTTGTGCACCGGTTATCAGTTACAGAGTCGTGCTGTTTACATCATTAGTCTTTTCCAAATCTCTGCAAGGTAGGATGATATTCTGATTTTCTAGATGAGAAAACAGGCTCTTGTAGAGCCAACAGTCTGCTCCCCAGAGCTCTAATTTGGGAAAAGCATCGTTGGAACTTGGTACTCAAAAAAGTTCCCAAAGCAGAAGCATCAGCATCCTCCAGAAAAATCTCAGCATCTCCCGGAAACACCAGAATCCCCAGAAACACCAGCATCCCCCCCAAAACGCCAGCATCCCCAGAAACACCAGATTCCCCAGAAACACCAGCATCCCCGGAAACACCAGATTCCCCAGAAACACCAGCATCCCCCCAAAACGCCAGCATCCCCGGAAACACCAGATTCCCCAGAAACACCAGCATCCCCCCCAAAACGCCAGCATCCCCAGAAAGTCAGCCTCATACTGACATTCTCATTTAGAGCATGAATTTTCACCAGCTGCCTAGGCAACTTGCACATGCATCCAGCTTGGAGCAACACTACATCTATAAGCCTTTCTGGTAGGAGCAGAACCCTTGAGGTAGCACATCAGACTGGTAATGGTGATTAGCTGTGATTTTAATAATCTCATTTACACTCTTCTGTATCACCAAACAGCTTCCATCATATGTTTCATCTATAAAAAGAGAAGTATTGAAATGAGTGCACCAACTAGACTTGTTGACGCAACAGTATGCAGCTCTATAAAAATCTTACATGAGAGCCAACTCCCCTCCATCCTTTCTACCCCCACCAGCAACTCCAGATTTAGGAAGCTCAATTAGAGCTTTTGGTGCAGGCAGGAAAGGGTAAGGCTAACCCAGGGATGATGCCACCAGAAGGGAGTCACCCAGCACAGATATATAAGAAGTCTGATGTCCACCCACTGGACAGTCTGGTAATCAGGGGAGCCAGTGTGTACACACTCCACTGGGCCAAGCTGCCCCTTCCCAGTGGCACTGTGAGGCCAGTCTGGAGGAACAAGGAAGAATTTCACTGTTTCCTTCAATTGGTTAAGGTGATGAGTTGTGGTGCCGAGAATAATCAAAGGCTAGGCAATGGTATGTAGCCGTAGAGCCACTGGTATGTAACAGTGCTGCTCCAGCCTGTTGCTAAAAGCCTGGCCTCTACAGTGTGATACCTACGTACCTTCTCAGTCCTGCCTCTGAATGACAAGAAAGGAGATGATGATGAGAGAGATCGAAATCAGAAGGCTCAGCTCTGCTTCATCAGCCTCCCCATGCGGTTCTCTGCTACCATCCCTGATCCATCAAGCAGCAAGTGCTGCAGGAAGTGCTGGTCTTGTAAGTTCACCTTAGGGTCCAACGCTACAGTTCCCAAGTTGTCTGATGTCATTTCTACTCCTTGCTGACCAATGCGTCAATAGGAATCCTTATGACAGCTGACAGATAATGAATATGGCCAGCCAGGCTTCTCTGAACCCAAGAGAGGGACTATGTCAGACGGCTCACTCACTGGGTACAGACTAGAAGGTACCTCGAGGATGTTTTGCTTTTCATCTAAGTGTTCCTATGCCTCTCTGTGGAGAATGCACATAGCCCTGACTCCCTTCCTGTGCCAAATGAAAGGTTGATGCGGAGAGAGGATATCCAGGCTACTGGGACTCCCAGCTGGGCTGTCAACAGGCCCAGTCCCTTGTAGGCTTCCTGGAATGTGTTCAGCTGTTCTTTGGAGATTCCCAGGC